CACCTCGCTTTTCAGACCGATGAGCTTTGTAAAAATCGACGCGTTTCAGAAAGGCGGGGCATAGAGGAGAAACAATAATGTACAGTATGTGGAAAATAATGTGTTTTTTGAACCTTAAACCACATAAACACATTGCATTACACCAAATACACAAAATAATGTTCTTTTTAGCAACATCATATGACCCCTTTAATCATCTTTTGTTGTGCTTTGAAGAAGTACACTAATTTGCTGACTAGCATACTAAAGCACATGTACTACTCAGGTACTTGATTATTTATTATTTGGCCATAACCATCACTCTTCATTATCAAATTTAAAGTGTTTTTTCCCCCTCTTGTTCCTTGCTCAGGCTGCTGCAGAACTGGTGGTCCCGGCGTAAGATGAAACGAGCAGGAGAGCAGAATAAGAGTAAAGAAGAGCTGCCGCAGTGGGATAGAGACTGGAACCTGCAGCCCATGAACGCACACGGCCTGGTGGACGAGTATCTGGAGATGGGTGAGTCCTGCTCGACAACACCTACTGTGAGATCTTTTGAAGTGCGTAATTTTCTGTCATGGTGAAGCCGAAGTTAGTTACCTAGTTTAAGTTAGTTAAACCGTCATGATAATAGCTGCCTTAATAATAACACATCTAAATTAATGTAACTGATGGTTGAAGATAACTGCTTTGCCCTCGAGTACTGAGATTTGTTACCACCACAGTAACACAAAAACATATTACAGTAAGTATATTCATCAGGGCGGCATGCTTGCAATGCATTGTGCAAGCGTTTGTGTGAGTGATTGCTTGTAATCTAGATGGGTTGCAAGTTTCGTCTGTTTTCTGTACAGTTCTACAGTTTGGTTTCACTACAATCTTTGTGGCGGCATTTCCTCTGGCTCCTCTGCTTGCTCTGCTCAACAACATCATCGAGATCCGATTAGACGCCTACAAGTTTGTCACGCAGTGGAGGAGACCGATGCCTGCTCGCGCTACTGACATCGGTTGGTCCTTTTCACCTCAATTAGCCTGGTGTCAGTTTATTCCAATCTAAATGCAAGAAACACAAGAGTTAACTTAATTTAGTCTGTTGTAAATATAGATTGTTAGCATGAATATTCACAATAAATAGGATACATCAATTCTTAATGTTCTTTAATGTAGCAAATTACTTTATAGATTCATGGGTTATCTGTTCTGACAAATGTCAATATATTTTGATTTGATAGATTTGTTTATTTATTTTTTTTAATTAGGTATCTGGCATGGTATCCTGGAGGGAATTGGAGTCGTGGCTGTCATAACAAATGCCTTCGTCATTGCCATCACTTCGGATTACATCCCTCGCTTTGTCTATGCTTTCAAATATGGGCCCTGTGTGGACAAGGGTTACCGACATGAGAAGTAAGATTTCAAAATAGCTGCGAGCAACAATTACAGGGCCAAACACACCAGTGGCATGTGCATTGTAAAGCTGAGCAGATTTATTTGGTTAGCATCTCTATTGGTGATGGGTGGTGGCCAAGATGGTTCAGCTTCACCTTTTGCATTATCAGTGCATTTCTGGGAAACTATTTTGAAAATCAGAAATTGACAGATTTTTATGGAATTTATCTGCATCAAGTCAAATTGGACTGACTGTATTTAGACATAAAATTATGAATTTGTGTGAATCTCTGTGTTCCTAATGCTGTGTATTTGCGTTTTGTGTGTCTTTACACAGATGTCTAAGAGGATACTTGAACAACAGCCTGTCTGTTTTTGATATGGGTGAATTGAAAAATGGGAGTTATCATCCTCGGTACTGCAGGTACGGCAACACTCATGCTACAGTTTCATGTTGTTATATGCTTGTTCTTCAGTTGGGTTTTGTCTTTTTCTCAAGGTAAATTTGTCTTATTCCCCTCTACAGGTATCGGGATTACAGAGCGCCTCCATGGAGTCCTGAACCCTATGATTTCACCCTGCAGTTCTGGCATGTTTTGGCTGCCAGATTAGCCTTCATCATAGTATTTGAGGTCAGTGCTATTTAACAATTTAACAATATTATCTTAGTAATGCTTTACACCATTAACAATCTCAGCCAACATTTCATGGGAGCCAGTGTAAGCACAAAAATGGACTTGAGGTATGGGCTCTTAATGGGTTTGTCCACAGGTTCCATGTAGGACCTATTTGAATAAGTCCATACTGGAGCTAATACAGACAAGACCGACAAGGAACTCATGGACAACCCCATTTAGAGCCAATACTGGAGCTAATTCAGACAAGACCGACAAGGAACTCATGTAAAACCCAATTTAGAGTCCATAATGGGGATAATTCAGATAGGGCCATCGTGGAATTCAAGTGGGGCTTATTCAGATAAGGATGATAAGGAACCTATGGACAAACCCATGTTGAGCCCATACCTCAAGTTCATATTGTGCCTACATCGGCCTCACCTTAAATTGTTGGCTTGGAGAAGCTATTTTGAAATTTTAGTTTGCAAAGCTACAAGCTATGTATAAGTAGTTAAAGTAAACCTGCTCTTTGATAAAGCTTACATGGTTCTAGTGCAAGGTTCTAGTGCAGGGGTCTCCAAACTCAGTCCTGGAGGGCCTGTGTCCTGCAGAGTTTAGCTCCAACTTGCCTCAACACACCTGCCTTGAAGTTTCTAGCATGCCTAGTAAGACCGTGATTAGCTCGTTCAGGTGTGTTTAATTAGGGTTGGAGCTAAACTCTGCAGGACACCGGCCCTCCAGGACCGAGTTTGGAGACCCCTGTTCTAGTGTAATGGAGGCCAGCTAGTACAGACTATGTGGGTAAACCTCATTTCCCTGGCCTCAGGAAGCACAATAGTGACTGGTATTAGAGGCTGCAGCTTTTAGAGTCCTTGTTAACGTGCCTGATTTCCATCGCTGTTCAGACTCCGCTTGGAGTGGTACAGTGGTGCCATGACCCGGATGGGAGTGAGGTTAGGAGGGTGAGTGTAACAGAGTCCAACTGGTATGTGATAACTACAGTATGCAGGTAAACCTCACTCTCCTGGCCTCAGGAGATGCATTAGCCACTGATGCAAGAAACTGAGGTTTTTAGCGTCATTGTTAACATGCCTGACTCCCATGCCAGCTATTGTCTATTCAAGCCATGCTTGGAGTGGGCAGAGAGGAACTGGTAACACTAGCGCAATGTATCAAATCTTGGGAGCCAGACTTTTGACTTTTGGCAAATAGACTTATTCTGGCAAAGAACCATGAGAATATGTTAATTTTGGAAAAAAATCTGTAGAATGTCCAAATAAGCAGTATTCTTAAAACAATATGAAAAAATACCTAAATCACCTATTACTACTGAAATTCTAAAGTGCTCATTGTCATGGGACTTTGATGGCACTGGTCTTCCTTCACACAAGGCTAATTTAGCTACTTCTCAGTATTGCAATGCAACCTAAGATTATTTCATGTTTGTGATTTTTCCATTATCTGTTATATTCTCCATAGCACCTGGTGTTTGGCATTAAGACCTTCATAGCCCATATGATTCCAGACATGCCCAAAGACCTGTGTGATCGCATGCGCAGGGAGAAATACCTGATGCAGGAGATGATGTATGAGACGGAACTGGAGCACCTGCAGAAAGAGCGGAAAAAGAATGGCAAACGTTATCACCATGAGTGGCCTTAGCCATGCCTGTCCATAAATACACAAAAAATGCCCACTGGAGAACCTCATACACTACCCACAAAAGCACATAAAGACTTGAGAGCGGCGAACAAGCGTCCTTGCAACATGCAAACCCGCAGCACATATGTGAATATGGACATTCATGTACAACCGTTCTGCTACCTTGGATAGCTAGCTTTATTGACTCCATGCATGGGCTGCCCACTTTTCATTGCTGTGACAAACCAGGGAGCGGTTTCAGCGTTTGGGGTCAAAACCTGATCTCCGGGTGGCCCTTTAGAGCCAGGAGTTGGCAGTTGTACTCTGCACCAAAGAGGTTCTTCTCAATCACATGATCCCTACCTGAGACCTCCGATTATCCTATATTTTCATACTGCTGAGTAGTTCTAAATCTTTAGTGATTGGCTACTTAAAGTTTTGGCTCATTAGCTAAAAGTAGCTATGAAAGCAGTCTGGCAAAATTATGGATTGGGATAAGGAAGTTTGAGAACCACTATACTAAAGAAAGTCATGACTGGGCGTTTTGTCGATAGAAATGTGTCTTGAGGGTATGGAATGAATGAGATTAGTTTGAAATCAAGCGGAAATTAAATAAATTGGATTTCCGAAAGCACAACTGCCTTCTTAATAGTCAACAAATGTGTGTGCCAGAGTACGCTGCAGAGCATGAAGGAGTTTCACTTCCGCAAACCACCGCTTTGTCCATGTGAAGCATCATCAACACTGAGATCAATGGATTACAGTGTTTTCTGACACACTGTAAACTCCAGTATGTAGGTGGGAAATATCATTCATTGAACACGCATCCTTCCCAGCATGGCCTGCAGTGGCGCTGCTCTTTCATCTGTGTTCTGTAGTAGTTCTGAATGGAGCACTTGTGCGGTTGGACTGTTTACTATGCAGATGAAGGGCTTTTGGAGTTCCTGTTTTCTGCTTGCCTACTTGTCTGCGTCTCTGTGCGTGGCAGCTATCATCCCGCTGTGAAGCAGTTCTCTACCTGGTGACCAGGCAACGTGAAGACGTTTACTTACGAACATATTTACCGATACGCCCTCTCTCTTCGCTTGCCAGCATCTCACATTGTGATTCTTGTTACAAAAGTGGTTTCTGGTAAAGGTTACCAAATAAAAATCAGTTTGTTTATGCAAATGAACAGTTTTTATGTACTGCATCGCCTTGAAAAGATATGCAGATCTGTCTTTCAGTACAATAAGTCATTTTGTGTAGGCAAAATAAATAAAACAAATAGCCAATATTGGCAAAATGGTGATATACTGTAAGTAACATGCATGATTTTTTTTAATTGCATGTTGTTTCTTTGTTTTTCATTATTTTATAAGACTATGTCCTTTGTTCATATGCCTGGTTTTGTAGCGTGTGTGAGCTGAATTGATGTGTGAGTGTGGCTGCGTTTGTTGCTCAGCTGTCATGAGTTTTGTGTTGCCATCGGCCTATGCGCAAGACAGTGGCTATCTTTCGAACAACATACTAGCATCTCTGCAATATATAGTATGTATGCTGTGAATTTTCTGTATGTGTAAAACACCCGAATGAATTACTACGTTTGCAAAAGTATTAAGCATACAACCCGAGTGAGCTGTGTGGAATGCAGTATCCCACATTGCAATGCTTTTGACTTAACCTACAGTACAATAGATTGATGCAGTGATGAAATACTTTTGTTCAGAATAATAGAACTGGAAGTGCTAAAATACTCCTTTCCAGGCTTTGGCCTACAGAAATACGCCATCCCCGTAGCACTCTATTTCCAGTGTGATTAATGTACTAGAAAAATGAAAAACCCTTCTTGATTCATTATTTGATTGGAACACCAAAAATTGATTATGAAAATGCGTATTTACTGTTTTTATTTTCATTCACTCCCGAATCAATAAGGTATGTAGCAACAATGTAGCATACTACTGTTTGAAGCATTTATTGTTGCATAATGGATGCTGTTTGACATACTAAAATAGTATGCAGTATACATAAACTGTGCAGTATGAAGTAAGCAGTAAGCTAGTGTTCCACTCCAAACATAGTCAACTACTGTAAAATATAAACATCACAGCATATGAATCTATCCACCATTATCCATACAGTTCAAGCTTAAACAGATGTGATGATAGAATTACCATTGGGACAGTGGACATGGAAGACAAATTCTGTTATTTTACATTACTCTTTTTTTTTTGTATAAATGTAAAATGTTGTATTTTCTTTTTTGGGGGGGCGTGTATGTGCGCATGTTTAAATATGTGTGTTCATAACTGTGTGTTTGCATGTGTGTGTGTGTGTGTGTGTGAGAGAGAGAGCAAGAGTTTTGTAAAGTCCCAGCATGCATCTCATTCTTACACAGTTTTTCAAAAGGCAATGACTATGTTCGAAATAGCATACTACCCAACTACTAATACTATTTTTTTTCAGTATGTATTATGTATAGCGTGCAAATAATGTGAATTTTGTATGCATGGAATATTCAGGCTTACTACATGTGCTATAATCTGCATTATAAAGCAGTGCTTGAGATACTGTCCCACAATGCAATATGTTCAACTTGACCTTACATTTCAGTGTGACATATGCACTAAAAGTAATATCAACCTTGATTTCTCAACTCATTCTCTGATCAGACTGAGGAAAAGTGCAATATAAGCGTGTTTATTTCAGAGAGATAACTAGATACCACTCAGTTTAATTGAGTTAAATATGCAATGTAATGTGTCATTGCATAAAGTGTTCTCTTTAACATACTTAAAAAATAGTGCACACATTACAGTACATACTGTGTGGTATGCAAGAAGTATTCAAGAAATACATTAGTATTCCATTTCGAACACAGTCAATGCATCTGTCCTCTTCAGGCCCTTTGAGTGTTTGCAGATGAGATATTTGTATCATATTTTCTTAGCTTGAATCAAGTATTGCTTTTGTAAGTACATATTTTTGCACTTTCCATTTGCATGGGTAAGACCCCATATGGGTACAGATATACACTCAAAAAACTCTTTAGATTGTGTTCTCGCTTCATAGATACTACACTGAAAAAAAGTTGACTTTAAGTTTAATTTCATGAAAGCACTTTAGGAGTGTATTTTTTCCCGTTACCTATATTTAGGATTCACATTCTAAATAAAAAATGTTAAAAAATATTACTGTGTAGTTTATTAGAACAGTGGTTCTCAACTGGTCAGTCGCAACTCAAAATTGGTCTCCGGTCTGTTCTGGTAAGTCTATTGACAGGAGGGAAAAACATGATAAACGCAAATAATAAAATGCACCAGTTTTGGTACTGTGTTGGGTCGCCATTTTGGTCCTGAATAAAAACCAGTCGAGAATCACTGTATTAGAGACTAAAGTATGCTTTGATGATTTATGTGTTATGGATGTTAAGCAGGACCAGAATTTCATCAATAGAATGGAAATGTGAGGCTGATCTGAAACAGGAAGTAGTCTCTACTATGATACACCATTCTCTTGGTGTACTGTAATCTATGCATGACCTCATTGAGGAGCCCAGTCCATCTAGGGCTCTTGACAAACCTTTGTGTATTTGTGCACTTTTTACTGTGAAGTGTGCATGGCCTTTATCTGCTTAAACCGGAGAAGACTGACCTGAGATCAGTACATGTTGTAGTGGTTCTTCGTCATGAATGATCAGCTGTTAATGGCCTTGTGGTGATCTCATTAACATTAATTTACAGGCTATTGGACAACAAATGTTATTCAGGTTTTATCAAATACACTTGATTGTGTGTAAAATGTCTTCATTGAAAATGCCTGTCATAAGTACATGAAACAATAAAGATGTTTATAATGATCAACAGCATGTATTATACCACTATAGTCAGTGCTTAATCTTACACAGACTCACTGCATTTTATTCGAATATTGACTCGATTCCTGCAACATCAGTTATTAGTCAAAACAATGTAATTGCTAGTATTATTAAAGTTGGGTGGTTAAAGTTGGAGTTTTTGGATGTTATTTTGCTGACATCGAATTTGAATTCAAAGTGCCCCTATTATGGGTAATAAAAGGTTCATATTTTGGTTTTGGGAGTCCCCAACAACAGGTTGACATGCATGCAAGGTCAAAAAACACTTTCATTGTCTTATAATATGCATTTATTTTTAATAAATAAAATGTTATTAACATTTATTAAAATTTTATTACAGTCCAGGAGCTGGACTGGACACCATTGGTCTTAAGAAACATGCTCATAATTTCTCTCTGATATTATGGTTAGATCATGGCCACTGGCAGTAGGTGCAGTAGGGTTGAAAGATGAAAATTGTCAGGTGCAAGGATTGGGAATTAAAGTTTGGAATAACGTTTAAAGCTGAAGATGGTTCAAATCCAGTGGGATTTTAGAGATAGTTCACCCAAAAAAGAAAATTATGTCATTAATTACTCACCCTCATGTCGTTCCAAACCTGTAAGAACGTTCATCTTCAGAACACAAATTAAGATATTTTTGATGAAATCCAGGAGCTTTCTCATCTTCTATAGACTGCAACTACCATGTTCAAGGCCATCAGAGATAGTAAGGACATCATTAAAATTAGTGATGGGACAGTTGATACAGCGGCTTTCAAAGCACTATTGTATCACACACTGTGCCGATGCTTGTATCGAAATGACAACATCACATGATTGATGACGTTTGAAGCTTCGAACGTCATGCAGTATCGGAAGGTGGGGACAGTTGGTTTGAAAAAAATCAGCGCTTCTCATGACTCTTGTGTTTGACTTTACTTTGACTTGGTTGTGTGTGTGTCTCTGTGTGTGTGTGTATGTGTACACTTATTTGGGATTCTGTAGAATAGTTTAGAATAAACTCAACACCAGACTGAATGCACGTCACACCTCTATTGCATTTTATCATGTTCTAACTGGGGTCTCAGAGACCCCAAACAGCTCACACAAAATATTTTTGCTGCTACTCACGTCAATTATTAATTATAATCACACACTTGTATATTTTATATTATTGATCAATATGTGAATGACATTAAAAACTTTTTCAAACTATCCTTTGGGTTAAGGCTAGATGGCATACAGCAAAAACTACTGGGCATGCGCACATCAATATAGCATAATTTTTATCTTACTGTTCAAAAACTTTTGACTGGTAGTGTAGGCTGATTAGTCTGATATATTGAAACAAATGTGCTTTAGGCAATATAAAGAGTAAGAGTTGCTGCAGAAAAAAAATAAAAAATTAGCAACAACAAAAACATGTTGCTGGAGACAGGCTTTTGAACATGCAAACTGATTGTCTGCCAGCAGGAGGCGCTTTGAAAGTGGTAGAACTAGCGGTTTCCCCAGTAACGGCTGTAATCAAAGCAGCTCCGCTCATGAACGCTTCTTTATCCGATAAAATGAAAATGCCATCGAAACGTTTTCTGAAGACAGTCCTTTCCTTTCAGAGATACATTCACATAAAACACCCGCGACGTGTTTTGATTTTGAAACGTGTAGTGCTCATGTTTATTAAATTAAGTCAAACGTCACAAATAAATCAATGTATGGGAAACACTGGTAATGTATATCGAAATATCGGAAATGTGTTTAAAAATCATATCACCGTTATTGAAAAAAAATTATATCGCGATACATATTGACATTGAATTATTGTCCAGCCCTAGGTTGGGGTAGATGTAGACGTTAATAAAACACAATCTAATAGGTATAAAATTCAATTTACTTCCGATTTTTCCTGTATCCCTTCTAGCCACAACCCATCCTCTGCTCCGCGATGTTTTGTTAGATTTGGTGGAGAAGCCAAGTCTGATCACCAGATGTCGCTAATGCGCACTGTGTTAAAAGCTTCGAGTAATGAACCGTTTTTTGGCACAATTTTATGAAAGCCTCAAACGGTTTAGAAAGCCTCGGTTTCCCATCACTAATTAAAATAGTTCATGTGACATCAGTGGTCCAACCTTAATTTTATGAAGCCATGAGAATACTTTTTGTGCGCAAAGAAAACTAAAATAACAATTGTATTAAACACTCTCAACTGGACTGAATTATTCAATGACAGCATTTGCATTTTTGGGTGGACTAACCCTTTAATTTCTGATTCACCACAATTGTTTCACGATGCAAATCTTTCATCTGGGACAGCTGAAAATCGTACAGTGTGTCTCGGGCTTTAGGACTAGGCTTCAGACTTTTTGTGCGCAAAGAAAACTAAAATAACAATTGTATTAAACACTTTCTGAACTGGACTGAATTATTCAATGACAGCATTTGCATTTTTGGGTGGACTAACCCTTTAATTTCTGATTCACCACAATTGTTTCACGATGCAAATCTTTCATCTGGGACAGCTGAAAATCGTACAGTGTGTCTCGGGCTTTAGGACTAGGCTTCAGAACTAAGCAAAGATGTTGATACAGGAGTACAGTCTTACTGGCAAAATCACAGTCATCTTGAATAACGTTCAATACTCCTCTGATGACACCACATGATTTTATTGTTTATAGTTCTAATATAAAGGCTATTAATGTGACTCCTTTATCCGTGTTTACATGTAAAGCAAAAAAAACTGTATGCATACAAGAATTGTACAAAATATGTATGTATCATAGAGTTGGATGTCACTTTTCTGTAATTGTATCTTTTAAATTAAATAGTTGATGTATTCTTTGACTTCATTTAACATTTTCTATATGTTTATGTGGTCAAAAAGTTAAAGCTTTGCTTGAACTTGACTAGTTTCATTATGGTCAAAAGCGGCATTAGTGTAACCGTTTTCATGCAGGTTATCATTATCACTCTTGACCTTCTCCTCCATTTTTATAACCCCTTCCATGTCTGTATGTTTCTCCCATGCCATGCCAAAGTCTCCCAAATCCTAAGAGAAGCAGAGAAAGGTTGAGTTTGCATTCAAAATACTCAAATCCAGTCTAACTGATGCTCTTCACCTCTTTGTCTTCACTAAAGTCTGCGTGTATGAATTTCTCAGAGCAGAAGCAGATGACGTCCTTCACTGATCGAGTCAGTCCTGGCTTTACCTTTTTGGGATCCATTGGTCCTGTAGACACCAGAATGACAGTTTTACAATACTTTCTCAACATTGAATCCTCCCTCAGTTCAGCAAGAACATTTATTGAATCAAAAATTGGTTCCTCCAGAGAGCTTAAAGGGTTAGTTCACCCAAAAATGAAAATTCTGTCATTAATTACTCACCCTCATGATGTTCCAAACCAGTAAGGCCTTCGTTCATCTTCGGAACACAAATTAAGATATTTTTGATGGAGTCTGAGAGCTGTTTGACCCTCCATAGAAAGCAAGGATATTACCACGATCAACGCACAGAAAGGTAGTAGGACATCGGTAAAATAGTCCAGTTGACATCAGGGGTTCAACCGTAATTTTACGAAACTACGAGAATACTTTTTGTGTGCAAAGAAAACAATAATAACATAATTTATTCAACAATTCTTCTCCCCGACTTACCGTCTTCTGACATTTTGGAGAGTACCACAGAACGTAATCAACGTAATGAGCTTTGTTTACGTTAAGCATGTGCGCACTGTCTACTGAACGTAAACAATGCTGATTACGTTGATTATGTTCAGGAGTACTCTCCAAAATGGTGGAAAACGGTAACGGATCTCCTTGCTATGTTTCTGTGCGTTGATCATGGTAATATCATTGCTGTCTATGGAGGGTCAGACAGCTCTGAACTACCCCTTTAATGTTTCTGATTGTCCAAAGAGTTGAGCAACTTGGCTCATTCAGTCACACTGAAGTAATATGCATGATGTAACACAAATATTATAGCTGTATCCTTATTCACATAGTACAGTATGTGTAAATGATCGCAAAATGGTTGTGTCACTTTAAATTTGTTCTGAGCATGTTACGTGCTTTACGCAGTAGGTAACGCAAAGTAGTCAGATCAGCAGAGAGGAGAGCGAAGATTCATCTTCCTCCAAAGTGCATGAAGAAAAAATTTAGTTTTATGGTGAACTGTGCCTTGATTCTGCTCAATTTCAACCTAGTACCCTTTGGTAAAGCGGAGCGAGGTATGTGAAGTTGACGCATGTTACGTTTTGTAATTTATTTCAAAGTCATATTAGCTTGTTTGTATGTATATGTTAATCGTGAGCTCTGCTTGTTAATTAGTTCTTTCAAACTGCCTTTATTCATGTCATTGTTTATTTTTTCATCTGTTTCTCTGTAAATGTGTACTTTATTTATGATATTTTTCTGTATACGAGTTGTATGTATTGGTTTTGTTGTTTCTTTGTGTAGTTTCAAGTTTAATGGGCGAAATAAAGAAAGAAGCACCCATCAGAAACTCTCTTTGTTCCGTTTATGGATGCTAATGTGCAGCTACAGTATGTGTCTTAAATAGTAAGCAAATTAAGTTTGCCATGCTCCAAACGTTTGCTACACAGAACTTTGAATTCTCCCACCCCTTGATTCTGCTCAATTTCAACCTAGTACCTTTTGGTAAAGCGGAGCGAGGTATGTGAAGTTGACGTATGTTACGTTTTGTAATTTATTTCAAAGTCATATTAGCTTGTTTGTATGTATATGTTAATCGTGAGCTCTGCTTGTTAATTAGTTCTTTCAAACTGCCTTTATTCATGTCATTGTTTATTTTTTCATCTGTTTCTCTGTAAATGTGTACTTTATTTATGATATTTTTCTGTATACGAGTTGTATGTATTGGTTTTGTTGTTTCTTTGTGTAGTTTCAAGTTTAATGGGCGAAATAAAGAAAGAAGCACCCATCAGAAACTCTCTTTGTTCCGTTTATGGATGCTAATGTGCAGCTACAGTATGTGTCTTAAATAGTAAGCAAATTAAGTTTGCCATGCTCCAAACGTTTGCTACACAGAACTTTGAATTCTCCCACCTCCACTTGAAAATAACCATTGGAATTTCATCTTGACAGCGACTTCAAACGATGATTTATGTTGAAGTCAGAGTTGATCGATCTGCCCAAACGTTATTAGCCAAAATACTGCATGTTAGCTTGCTTATTTTGCTCAAGAGCATGATCTATCTTATACTCACAAGAAACTATGCTTCTAACCACAAGTCAAGAGCTGTAGTTCCAACCACACAACTTTTTTTGCAATGCTGTTTTGTGAATGTTTAGTGGAACCATGGTTTGGGGAAACACTTTGGGGAATCATTGACCTATGCTAGTAATGACGGAACTTGCAACTGTTTTTAGTGAAAGAAACCTTGACTAACGTTATTTGTGTATGAATAAATGTATGTATGACCCCTTTAAAATAACTTTGTTTGATTTTACAGTTCTCATGAGCTTCTGCGGTATGCATTGTGCCTTCAATGAGACCAGCAGTTCTTTTCATTCTTAGACAGTCTATAACTCGAAGTGTTTTGATGCTGTCAGTAAAAGCTAATGAAATGTTGCTCTCACCCGTCAGCAGTGTGATGAGTAGACCTGCTGCTACAGTGCCAATAAAGCCCACTGCACTATAGTACAGATAGGACATGGAGTACCATGAATCAGCCAGCCAATACCTGAACACAAGACAGAGACCTTATAATGAAGGTGCATTACTGCAGCATGATTGCATTTGTACTGTAAAAAATAGGACTGTCTGTTGATTTTTATATTATATTATACAAAAAAGGTTAATCAAATTCATTTATTTCTTGTAAGAATGGGTCATTTTTACTCATCTGTGATCACTTTTATAGAATTTCCATTATTTTTTCTAGGATAACTGAGTGCACTCTTGTACCCCATGAAATGGTTTGACAAACATAAAACATTTTTGTGTGTGATCAAAAGCTTAGAAGTTATTTTTTATTTATTTTTACAAAATATTTTCTGTGTAAATGAATATGCTTTACTCATTGCTTTAATATAAAATGTATTATAAAATACTAATTAAGAAATTATTCAAAAATCTTTTCAGTAATTACCTATAAGATTTAAAATGTCAAATTAGGAGTCTTTATTAAACATTAAATATTGTAAAAATATACAAAAATTAAACATCCCAAACATTCTGTTGTTCAGTCCAACAATTCGTTATTCATGACGACTCTGGTATGAAAGTTTAGATCAACCTTTATGTTAGTGACAGGAAACAGGATTCCCAGAGAAAACAGGCCCAGCATTGGGCCTCCGCACATGCCGTGGATACTAAGGGCCGCCTGAGGCACAAGAGGAGAAAGACGCTTAGTGACAGGAAATTAAGCAGGAACAGATCATCCCGGCCCATATGAGAATCACATGATACCTGCACAATTCCTCCCATATATGATGCAGCCACAGCCATAGTAGTGCAGGCCACACCGAACACCACACCTGAACATCAGCACACAGTCAGAAGTGTTAGTCATATTTAGTAGTTCTCTCCAAGTCAAGCATCACTATTGCTATTCTTTATATTTTGTACAAACCTGTAGCCCTAAGTTTGAAAATTAGGGACATCACACACCGTTTGTGCAGTGGATATAAATGATATCCAAAATGTGTTAATTAAAGGAGCAATTAGCCAATTTTCAAACAATTCTAGCAACGTCTAAAGACCAGAATAAGTGGTATAACTGATGGCGAGTTTTTTGTGTTTTAATTATATTAGCTCTTGATTTCTTGATTTGGAGCTATGTTTGATTTATCAACCTCCCATTGTGATTTATTATTTATTTATTTTATATTTATTTAATTGAATGTGCACTTGTAGTTTACTAGTACAATTTACAAAAAAAAATTTATTTGCAGATAATAGAAGATTAATGAAATAAAAGTCCACTTAAGTGTACATAGAGTACATTTTCATGACTGTTTTTCTATACTATAAACACTTTGACAACCATACTAAAGCACATATGTGACCCTGGACCACAAAACCAGTCATAAGGGTAAATTTTTCAAATGAATAAGCTTCCATTGATGTGTGGTTTGTTAGGATCGGACAATATTTGGCCGAGATACAACAATTTGAAAATATGGAATCTGAGGGAGCAAAAAAAAATTGCCTTTAAAGTTGTCAAAATGAAGTTCTTAGCAATGCATATTACTAATCAAAAATTAAGTTTTAATATATTTACAGTAGGAAATTTACAAAATATCTTCATGGAACATGATCTTTATTTATTATCCTAATGATTTTTGGCATAAAAGAAAAATCTATAATTTTGACCCATACAATTATAGTACAGATAGGACATGGAGTACCATGAATCAGCCAGCCAATACCTGAACACAAGACAGAGACCTTATAATGAAGGTGCATTACTGCAGCATGATTGCATTTGTACTGTAAAAAATAGGACTGTCTGTTGATTTTTATATTATATTATACAAAAAAGGTTAATCAAATTCATTTATTTCTTGTAAGAATGGGTCATTTTTACTCATCTGTGATCACTTTTATAGAATTTCCATTATTTTTTCTAGGATAACTGAGTGCACTCTTGTACCCCATGAAATGGTTTGACAAACAATTTTCTTTCAACAAAAAGTGGGGTCTTAAATTTCTTTTAATGTACTCTGACTCCGGGAGAATGGTAGAAGCACATTGCACCTGTCAGAGGTGAGAGCGCTCGCGGTGACTGATGTCTGGTTGGATCCATCAGCTGTGAGGTTGAAGTTACAGCCTGCAGTGTTGAGTTCGAGTGGACGTGTGTTATTGCTGGGTGCTGGATAAATGAAAGCCCCCACACCGACCCAGAACGAGAGAGTGATGCCCACGATCAGACCCCCAGCTGCCCCCTAAAGAGAAAACCACAAATCACAGAGGATGTGAACTATATTAACATCAGTGATGAACAAATTAAAAATGTATTAATGTTTTTACTTTTTTTTTTTTTGTCTGATCTTGAATATAATACACACTATAGTCCACATGCAAAGTTTTATATTGGTATTCATAATGGTGACATTATTTATACCCTTATATTTTCATGTTTTCTAAAGGGGATTCTTCAGGTAATTAGAAAAAATGCTTACAAATGAAACAAGCGTTAGAAAATAAAAGCTTTTTGTCTTAAAAATTTGAATCTTGTTAAATGTTGATTTACATATACTATATAGAAAATTATATATATATATATACAGAATAAGTGGTATAACTGATGGCGAGTTTTTTGTGTTTTAATTATATTAGCTCTTGATTTCTTGATTTGGAGCTATGTTTGATTTATCAACCTCCCATTGTGATTTATTATTTATTTATTTTATATTTATTTAATTGAATGTGCACTTGTAGTTTACTAGTACAATTTACAAAAAAAAATTTATTTGCAGATAATAGAAGATTAATGAAATAAAAGTCCACTTAAGTGTACATAGAGTACATTTTCATGACTGTTTTTCTATACTATAAACACTTTGACAACCATACTAAAGCACATATGTGACCCTGGACCACAAAACCAGTCATAAGGGTAAATTTTTCAAATGAATAAGCTTCCATTGATGTGTGGTTTGTTAGGATCGGACAATATTTGGCCGAGATACAACAATTTGAAAATATGGAATCTGAGGGAGCAAAAAAAAATTGCCTTTAAAGTTGTCAAAATGAAGTTCTTAGCAATGCATATTACTAATCAAAAATTAAGTTTTAATATATTTAAAACAGGCCCAGCATTGGGCCTCCGCACATGCCGTGGATACTAAGGGCCGCCTGAGGCACAAGAGGAGAAAGACGCTTAGTGACAGGAAATTAAGCAGGAACAGATCATCCCGGCCCATATGAGAATCACATGATACCTGCACAATTCCTCCCATATATGATGCAGCCACAGCCATAGTAGTGCAGGCCACACCGAACACCACACCTGAACATCAGCACACAGTCAGAAGTGTTAGTCATATTTAGTAGTTCTCTCCAAGTCAAGCATCACTATTGCTATTCTTTATATTTTGTACAAACCTGTAGCCCTAAGTTTGAAAATTAGGGACATCACACACCGTTTGTGCAGTGGATATAAATGATATCCAAAATGTGTTAATTAAAGGAGCAATTAGCCAATTTTCAAACAATTCTAGCAACGTCTAAAGACCAGAATAAGTGGTATAACTGATGGCGAGTTTTTTGTGTTTTAATTATATTAGCTCTTGATTTCTTGATTTGGAGCTATGTTTGATTTATCAACCTCCCATTGTGATTTATTATTTATTTATTTTATATTTATTTAATTGAATGTGCACTTGTAGTTTACTAGTACAATTTACAAAAAAAAATTTATTTGCAGATAATAGAAGATTAATGAAATAAAAGTCCACTTAAGTGTACATAGAGTACATTTTCATGACTGTTTTTCTATACTATAAACACTTTGACAACCATACTAAAGCACATATGTGACCCTGGACCACAAAACCAGTCATAAGGGTAAATTTTTCAAATGAATAAGCTTCCATTGATGTGTGGTTTGTTAGGATCGGACAATATTTGGCCGAGATACAACAATTTGAAAATATGGAATCTGAGGGAGCAAAAAAAAATTGCCTTTAAAGTTGTCAAAATGAAGTTCTTAGCAATGCATATTACTAATCAAAAATTAAGTTTTAATATATTTACAGTAGGAAATTTACAAAATATCTTCATGGAACATGATCTTTATTTATTATCCTAATGATTTTTGGCATAAAAGAAAAATCTATAATTTTGACCCATACAATGGGTATTGCTATTGCTACAAATATACCCCAGCGACTTAAGACTGCTTTTGTGCTCCAGGGTCACATATAAAGCAACTGATTATAAAGTAATTTTAACTCGCCTTATATCTGAATATATTTAAAACATGCTAAATTTGTAATGAACTTCATCATTACCATTACAAATGTGCAATTACTAATAATTTAAAATTCATGACATTCGGCAATACATTTTAACTATTTTTCAAAGACGATAGAATTATGAAACTACATATAAAGATGTACTGAAGTCCTACTTATGGAAGTAAAAAAAAAAAAAACTCTTAAATTCAAAACTAATTGCAATTAAAATATATTTAAACAATAATATAGTTGCATTTAATTACTGTTAGCATCCGATTAAAGTCCGAAAACTGTACATTTAGTGTGCACTGAAGTATATTATTTTATTATTTTCATAATAAGCACTCTTTTGAAAGTATGCTAAAGTCTGGCCTCCAAGATCAATCAAATCTGCAAATGTCATCCATTTAAAGGGATACTCCACCCCAAAATGAAAATTTTGTCATTAATCACTTACCCCCATGTCGTTCCAAACCCGTAAAAGCTTCATTCATCTTCGGAACACAAATTAAGATATTTTGGATGAAAATCGGGAGGCTTGTGACTGTCCCATTGACTGCCAAGTAAATTTTCAACAATTCGCGTCACCGTAGCGCCATTTTGGAGAGTATCCATTGAATGTAAACTGCGTATGCTGTTCATGCTGTTCTTGTCAGCCGTACCACACTGATACGTTTTCTACGTTTATTTACGCTTTGATTTGAACTAAAACAGCGCATCCGTGTGGTGCGGCTGACACAGAAGAGCGTACACAGTTCGTGTTCAGTGGATACTCTCCAAAATGGCGCAACAGTGACGCGGAGGAGACGAATTGTTGAATAAAGTCGTTATTTGTGTTTTCGTTGCGTACAAAAAGTATTCTCGTCGCTTCATAAAATTCAGATTGAACCACTGATGGCAGTTGGACTATTTTGACGATGTCTTTCATACTTTTCTGAACCCTGACATTGTAATTTACTTGGCAGTCAATGGGACAGTCACAAGCCTCCCGATTTTCATCCAAAATATCTTAATTTGTGTTCCGAAGACGAACTAAGCTTTTAGGGGTTTGAAACGACATGGGGGTAAAGTGATTAATGACAAAATTTTAATTTTGGGGTGGAGTAACCCTTTAACAACATAAACCATAGTATTAAAACTGTTCAATGTATTATGAATTTCAACAGAAGTGACTGTTTATTATTTATGTAATGAAGTAAGAGTAACCACTGCAGGTGTTATGTTGCATCATTCATCTTTAATTTTGAGATCCCGCCCTTCCGGGGAGATTTGTAAATTTGATGGGTCTGGCTTATGGTGTCCGCTTCCAGCTATTTTTAGCTGTACAAAACAGCTGGTTTTGTTGCTTGAAATTGCAAATTGGTGTGTCTTTACATTTTATTTTAATGTGTTATCTAAATGAACGTACTGGTTTGTAGTGCAAACAGTTTTACCGTTTACTGCACTTTGTTATTTCCCTATGGCGGCTAATGATCCGGAAGTCTCGCACATTCACAGAAAATGGCTTACTTCCACGTTGAAGAATAAAGTGGAGTAGGGGGATTCACGCTGCGTCCCAAAGTGCTCTGGTTTAATCTAAAATACGGAAAACAAAGTTTCTTCATGTAAAAGCATTTACACAACACCTTTTTCAACTAAAACCAGAAAACTTTTTACGTATTTTGGCCGTTCATTTACACAAAATCAGTGTTTTCGGGGCCTGGAAATGCAAACTTTTGAAAATGATTTTCAAAGTGCAAGTTTTGATAAAATGATACCGTTATCGTGTGTAAACTATGAAAGTGTGAATGTGTGAAAACGGTGACATCATGCGCATGCGTATTATCCGTTCCATATATAGCAGGGGTGCCCAAACTCGGTCCTGGAGGGCCGGTGTCCTGAAGAGTTTAGCTCCAACCCCAATTAAAC